CCCCCCTTTACCACCCTCTTATAATCCTACATAGAATCATTGTGTCAAATTGTGTTTTGTTCTTGGGCACGACACTTGTCTCTCACAGTAGCAAATTTCGCCACTCAGAGGTACTGACGAAGAATACGCGGGTAACAGACGTAATACCATTTAGCCGTTCATGGTACAGACCGAAGTTAAAGCGGTTTAACTTCCTTATAATTTACTGTTCCGTACATGGCGTACTTTTTCCAGACTATTATCCAGGACCTGTCCAGGTGGGTCACCGCTGACCAGCAACTCGAACGCTTGGAAAGCCAAACCATAAGTTTATGTCAAAAACCGACCGGAAAACTTGTTCCTAAAAGGTGTTTTTATTCCGATCATGGCTTACGTCACAAGAGCAAGAACGAAAATATCTCATTCTCTTCTTCATGGTTCCGCTGGTCGTAGTGTTCTGTCAAAGAAAGGACAAGAGCTAAGAACTCTTCCATCATTGAGCACTTTGTCGTCCAGTGTCAACAGTCACGCTGCAAAAGAGACTATCAAGACAATATCAGATATCCCAGGACCTATCAGCCTTCCCATCATAGGAACAGCTTGGACATTCTTCGTTGGGACGAAAGGCGAGTCCCTCGGAAAGCGAGTTTTGAAAGTGCAAGGGGAACACGCCAACAAATATGGTAGAATATTCCGATCGCAAATACCCGGGGTTACCATTATTTCTCTCTCAGATCCCGCAGATGTAGCGAAAGTTTTGCGATCCGAGCCAAAATACCCTCAACGACTTCAGTTCCCCGTTCTCGACTATTACCGTGAAAAACGACAAAAGATCCCTGGCGTTTTCTTTGCAGATGGCCCCGAGTGGTACAAGCATCGAAGTGTGCTAAGTAAGCGAATGCTTCGACCCAAAGAGGTAGCTGACTACACTTCTGGCTTCAACGAAATTATAACAGATTTTATTCACAGATTGCGAACCGTTCGAGAAACAAGCGGCTCAGAGAAAGAAAACGAAGTCTGTGAACTCGACAACGAGCTCTTCAAATGGTCCTTTGAGTCTGTCGCAGAGATGTTGTTCGACAAAAGGTTTGGTTGTCTTGAGCCCGAAGTAAACAAAGAAGCACAGACCTTTATAAAAGCTGTCGGAGATTTTCTGCACAATGTAATGGGGATAGGCTTCCTGCCGACCTGGTTCTACAAGATTTACGAAACCCAGCAGTTTAAAACATTTTTTTCAAGTTTTGACACGATGTACGAATACGCTGAATTGTTTATTGAGAGAAGAATTAACGAGCTTGAAGAACAACAAAGGAACCAGTCACGCGATTCATCCGGGCCTTCTGAGAGTGACAAAGCGGGTTTCTTTGAGTTTCTCCTGTCAAGTGGAAAGCTGACTAAAGATGATTTACTCGCAAGCGTGATTGATGTTCTGTTTGCTGGAGTTGATACAACTTCCAACACGATGCAGTGGGTGTTGTACATGATGGCGAAAAATCCTGACAAGCAAGACCTCCTGCGACAAGAAGTATTATCAGTGCTTGGGGATACAACATTGGCGACACCGACGACTCTGGCGCAAATGCCTTACCTGAAAGCCTGGGTACGGGAAACGCTGCGGCTTTATCCAGTCCTTTGTGCTATTCCTCGAAGGCCCGCTGAAGATATCATTTTAAGTGGATACCTCATTCCTGGGGGTGTGGCACAAGTTGAGTTTCTTACTCATGTCATGGGCCGAGATGAGAAACTTTTCGAAGATGCTGAAGCATTTAGACCAGAAAGATGGCTGCGAAAGAAAGAAGAAATTCCAACCGACGCTGTGGAAGCTTTCTCTTCTATTCCGTTTGGATTTGGAACCCGAATGTGTATTGGCCGTCGTATCGCTGAGTTGGAGCTTCACCTTTTATTGGCCAGAATCGTGCAACAATTTGAGATTTCTTATCCTTCTGATGCGGAGAATGTTGAGCCATTTGTTCGAGGGGTTACGATTCCTGACAGAGCTGTGAGAGCGAAGTTTGTAGACAGACAATAAAGAACTGAACAGAATTGAAGTAGAAGGCATTTAAAAAGTGGAACTAGTAACATGTTCGTCTCATTTCGGACAAGTAAACCTTAAAATATCAAATTAGTAAATATAGTAAAACACTAAAAAAGGTGACTCCAAAGTAAGAGAATTCAAAGATATTTAGAATGGAATATAATGTATCGAATTCCGAAATATAGGAACATGCATGTACCAAATCAGGGCCGTGCATATCAGGGGNTATCCAGTCCTTTGTGCTATTCCTCGAAGGCCGCCTAAGGATATCATTTTAAGTGGATACCTCATTCCTGGGGGTGTGGCCCAAGTCGAGTTTCTTACTCATGTCATGGGCCGAAATGAGAAACTTTTCGAAGATGCCGAAGCGTTTAGACCCGAAAGATGGCTGCGCAAGAGAGACGGCGTTCCAACCGACACCGCCAAAGCTTTCTCTTCTATTCCGTTTGGATTTGGAACCCGAATGTGTATTGGCCGTCGTATCGCTGAGTTGGAGCTTCATCTTTTATTGGCCAGAATCGTGCAACAATTTGAGATTTCTTATCCTCCTGATGCGGAGAACGTTGAGCCGTTTGTTCGAGGGGTTACGATCCCTGACAGAGCTGTGAGAGCCAAGTTTGTAGACAGACAGCAATTGACAGTTTGATATAATATAGTGTAGAATTGAAATACAAGACATTAAAAAAGTGGAACTAGAAACATGTTCGTCTCTTTTCGGAAAACTAAACCGTAAAATATCAAACGAGTAAAAGCTGCTAGTATATTCCCTGGTATAAATGTGGACCTTTCTCATAAAATTTTTGTCGCAGCAAAGCTTTTTTTTTCGCAACTACTTTTAGTAAATTACGTCAAAGCTGGAGCCCTTTTTTATGCCTTATTTAGGAATCTGTTGTCACACTACAGGCAGATGTTGTGTAGAACTTGTCTGCAACATCGTTACACGATACGTGCCCAGGGAGGCTCTCACATGAAAAGATCGGGGATGCTCTTCGTCTCGTTAAGGGGTCAAAACTAAGGATTTTGTTCTTAATTTTGTTCTCGATTCCAGAACGCAGGCGGCGAATCAAATCTCACTTTCCATACAAATATCGCCTTAACCGCCCTCGGATGTCCAAAATGATCTAGAACATAGAAGGGAAATGAAAGACTTGGTACTTCTCTACAGTGCTAGAGCAGGCCATGCTGATCTGGGTCACCAAGGCTCTTTTTGTTAAACTGTAGTTCGGCAGAAAACGCGTAACTCGAGGGAATTAAATTACCAAATACCACACGCAAAACAATATTACTTAAAACATTCGTTTTATTACAGGTCTATCCATTCTTGGAACAAACTACCAACGGATATAAAAAGCGTGGACTCATTTCATACTTTTGAAAGAAGGCTTTAAGATTTTTATGATGATAAAACCCTTTCTTATAATCTTCCAAGAAGCGAGGGTGTCAGTTAATGAAGTCATTTTAGATTAACTTAATTGTAAATAACATTATATGATAGTTATTACTACTTTTACTACTACCTCTACGATTATAATTATTATTACTATTTTGTTAATATTTATTGGGGTTGAATATCAATTGGGACATCGTCCTGTTTTCTGCTCCAGTTGCTGATGCTATTTTCTTTTCTTTCTTTTTATTGTAGATGCAACAAATTCAATAAAGTTATAGTTAAGTTAAAGTATAAAGCTGGTTGCTGGGACTGCAATGAATTTTACGTTGGCAAAACAAAACGAAAACTTCAAGACAGAAAATCTGAACATTTTAAGGCCCTCGCTAAAAGTCACCTTTCATCAGCTATTGCTGATCATGTGAAAACCACTGGCCACAACCAGGAGTTTTCTCTTGCCACAACATAAAATGGGCGGATTTTTGATCATTTTGATATTTTAGCGTCCGGCAAAACTGACTTTCATTGAAGAATTAAGGCCGAGATTCTGTTCATTCAAGAGCTGAAGCCTTCCCTGAATGTCAATGTCAGTAGTGAGAAGTTGTTGCTTTATTAGCTGTTACTCCTCATGATGTCTAGACAGGTTAACTTACTGCTGCAGATCATTTTTCTTAGTCTAGGCTCCAGGCCTCTAATATTTACGCCATAAATAGTTTTCAAAAATTTCTAACAGTCACTTTTCAAAATGTATGTTTACTAGCATACGAAACTTCAATCTCTGTATTATAATGCGTTGGAATACAATTTCATCACCGCTGTTGTGTTATAAGAGGGTGGTAAAGGGTATTTTCGTGACCCGTGATCGGCCCTTTTTATTTCCTGTGAAATGTGAAATAGCCATTTTTTCCCTCGTGAATCGTGAT